CTAAGGTGGCTAGGTACCTTCTTGTTGATGCTACAGTGAAAAAATAAGAGGGAATTTCTTTTTTTTTTTTTCACATAATTATTACTGTTTTATTAGTATTCACTCTCACTACTTAATTATTCACTCTTGTCGCATGAGTACTTAGTGATCAATGCTTGGAATGATCAAACCAAGGTTTCACAATAAAGGAGTTTCTCTACATTTGAAAACAATGTATTCTCTGTAGTAATCATCCTCTACAAATTAATGTAACAGTAATATTATAATATAGATGTCTGTTGCATTTATTCTAACCACGTATTTCATTTCTTTTCATTTCCCCTTCTCATTTTGTTGTTGTGTTGTTATCAATTCTATGTGTAAATGTTTTGTATACTTATTGTATTGCAATAAAGCTTTTGCTTGAATTGGGTAATAAAGCCTTTGTTAAAATTAAATTAACCAACTTACGTCCATCTCTAGGAGCTGTATTGCCAGCTGCAATTGGACCTATAGTCGGGCTTGATGATGCTTTAATATGTAAGATAAAGTAAAGATGCTCTTTAGTAAAAATGTATATTAATTTACATGTATTAATCATTAAAACAATAAAAGATAGAAGATTGATGCACTTTTTCTTATATGTAGGTGTGGAGGTTGCAGAAGATGTTGCCAGTAAGCTTGAATGAGAAGAAACAGTGGTGGAAGTAGCAGGAGATGTTGCCAGTAAGCTTGAATGGGAAGATTGGCCTGTCGAGGTGGAAGCAGCGGTTGAGGGAGCAGAGAAGGTTGCTGATGTACTTGGTTGGGATGGAGATCCAGGTGAGTTTTGAAAACGGGTGGTCAGATTTAGGAATAAATGACCTCTACAACAAAAGGAATGAACAAACCCCAAATTAACCCAGAAAGTGACTGTCGAAAAATAATCAAAATACTCAGACTAGAGGCATACATTAAGACTTCAGCTGAGACGTGTGCCTTCAACTACGCCATACAGTGTAGTAGCCTGGGAATGCAGACATTTCCAGTTGTTGGTTCTCTAGCTTCATCCAAAAAGTAAATTACATGTATACATCCTGACATGTAAACTAATGATGTCTGGGGCAATAGGCTTTTCATTATGTCGCTAACCAAAATAAGACATTAGCATAAAAATTAGCCACTATACAGCTAAAGGAATAAACAAAACCCAAATAAACCCAGAAAATGACTGTCCAAAAATAATCAAAATACTCAGAGACATACAGTGGAACCTCTATTCAAGGGAAACATCCATACATCCATATTCATGTACAATTTGTCATCTTTTTAAACACTTCAATTCAGGGAAAGAGACATTTTTCCAGGTCCCGAATCCTGGCTTTTACCTCTGTTCAGGGGACAACTAAGCAGTCGAAAAGTGTTAATAAGTTTAAGTGTACACAGACTCACAAAGAGTTTCACAATATTAACATAAACTGTCTCACAAGGTGGCTGGATACAGTTTTTCAGGTCCAATACCTCAAAAGTTTAAGCATAAACTATACGGCCTTAAAGAAAGATCTTCAAAAATTACCACTACAGTTGTGTAAGATGAAGATGAATTGAAAAGTTGCTATGATCAGGGTTACAACGACACCGGAGTTGTTATAGGAACAAATTGACGCCATTACCTATTTTACTTGCAGCATTATTTTTCTTCACTGGGAATTACTGTTCTTTGAAGATCATTTACAGGTGCTCTTTTCCCCAATAGTCACCTCTATGTTTGTGAAGTTTAATCGAAATCTGTAAGAGCATTATCAAGCTAATGTGTACAATGGACAATCTTGATATGCAGCTGTCATCGGTAGAATACGAAGCGCTTTTGACGTCACACTCTTACAGATTCTGCTTAAACTTTATAAATATCAAGGCAGCTATTGGAGGAAAAAGCTCCAACCTGTAAACGATCCTAAAATTCTATGAATTCAATGCTCAATATCTCAGAGAACCCAGCGTAGATAATGATAAAGTTCCTTGAGTAACATCTCTGTCACCTTATGATGGTGCTTAAATATCATGTTTAGGATTTCCCTTTTACGTTGACCACTATAAAGGAAAATATACGATATTAATATCAAAAATCATGTTCTTACTTCCAGCTGAAAAGGAGATGGTGGCAGCTGTGGTAGTAGTTAGGACAGAGCAGGAATTTGTTGTTGTTGTTGTTCTTCTGTTGGAGGATGTTTCTACAGAAAACAACAAGAGATAAAGATTTTTGAAAAGAAAATTTCAATCCTACTGAAAATGCCATACTAATCTATGTCAAACCTAAAGAGTAATATCATCTTTAAGTGATCTATCTGAGAATTTTCCACTGTGAACCTTTTGCAAAAGAGTTTTTCATTTGAACACAAATTCATTTTTTGGAATTTGTTTTAAACTCTCTTAGTATCCTCTTGGAAACCACTGGGAAACAAAGGAATTGAGACAAGATATTGAGGTATTATGAAAATTAGTGAATAGATGACTAACAGTATAAGTCAACAAGTGTAGAGTTCTATAATAGTATTTCTTCTATTTTGCAAACTGAAAAAGCTGTTAAAAGGTGAGCATTGGACGTAAGATAGAAGCACTGCAATTAGATGCAACAACACTAGACAGGTGACCCTGAGAGCATGCATAATATCCTGTTTTTCAATTCCTTTCTTTACATAGCTCATGATGTCACATGTAAGCCTGACAATTTTGATCAGTGGAATGGGTACACCAAATAAATTTAGACTTTAAAATTTCTTTCTGTGTTCTTTCGGTCAACATTATAATGTTTTTCGTTTTACACAAGAATAAAATTACACTGTATTAAATTTACAATGTTCATGTTTATGTGTTTTTATTTCTTCTTCTTATTATTATTATTATTCTTTCTCTTTGGAATTACACAACCAATTACCTGCCAACATGCAAAAAAATAACAAACAATCAAAAAACAAAAGTGGTGTCCAATAGCCTGGGGATTGGATTATAGGTTCAGTTTTTAACCAATAATGTTGTTTTTAATTTGCTTCCCTTGCACAAACAGGAACACAAGCAATGTTCGAAAGGGATGTCACTAAAACGGGGAACGGGTAGTAAGGAACGAGCACGGGAACGGGGATATGGAAGATAGGAACAAAACCTAACTTGAACCCAGCCCTAACAGTAACTTCATTTACAGTTTTCTGTTTCGTTCCCATTTTTCATTTTTTCCCGCTTGTCGTTCCCGGTCACCCGTTTTATTAACAAAAAAAAATTCAGGCTTCTGAATGTCGGGACATTTATTTTCTGATTTATCGATCCGGTTCTTATTACTTCACTTTTCCTTGTATTGGACAGGCTGGCGAAAATATAGAGAGAAAGGTGCAAAAGATAAAGAGTTTCAGATGGACTCTCAAGCTCGCTAACCTCACAGAGGGAAAAGATCCAGCAAGCCCGTTCTTCTGCTTTGCACGGTGCACGTTTCGATGCATCTGGCGGAGAACATTCACCCCCCAAAAAATGGAACTGGAACAAGTGATTTCCTCCAAACCGCTCACTGTCCGAGCAAGGTCGGTGCATTTTATGGAGATACCATGAGTTAACATGATCTAAAAGAGGAGTGACCAATTCTTGCCCCCAATCTATCTAATGCCTCAAAAATTTTCAGCCTAATGGAAAGCTGTACATTTCCATTCAAACTATCTACCCCGTAGAATAGAAGTTTAACGATCAATACTTTTTCTATCAACTTGCATGTCGCTAATAAGCACCTTGCCTACCGGGGTAATTGAGCACCTAAACCTCCAGTTTTCAATTTATGGTTATGAAGTAATCTGTAAATGTACACTTGATATGCCAATAATGGTTATTTATTTATTTTTCTTTTTTATCTTTCTTTTTATGAATATTACGATTAATTCCCATAGAAATCCTTATTTCGAGGAGGCTTTTGTGGCTGTGGGTACCCTGTGATATGACTGACACCGAAACACCTTGTTCCCAGGCTTCTAAGAAAGTAAAAGAAAACATGGCGATGGTATGGCTCGTTTCTCTTTTTCTCATCGGGAACCCGAGCTATTGTTTTCTGAAGGAATCATACTAAGTAAGGAAAAGACATTCCTAGTTTTGAGAAAAAAAGAAGAAGCCGCAGTATTTCAGGAAATGAGTAAAAATCTTCGCATCGACTTATCGATTGGTAAGAGCGCCTGGTACATTTTGGGCTGTAGAAAGCAGCTCAATTGAACGATTTAAAGCCTATTGTTAAGACGTTTTATCTTAATGTTTTGCAACATGAAGGGGTAATGGGGTTGTTTACGGACTGGTAAGACAGGTGTAGATTACTTAACGTCATGTCTTGGCGAGCTGCTGCTAGCACTTTTCTTTAGCTGTACAGGTCAAATTGTCCTGAATTGTGTCTAGATAATCGGCGTATCCAAGTCACAGGAATGTTAAGCTGATTTGATGTTCCAAGGAATGTAAACTTGAAATGTATCAGTTAACATAAACTTTTTATTCATTAAATGACAAGGAATTGAAAGGTTAGAATTTCAATAACAGGAACGTAACCATTATATATTATTCCAAACTTTGGCATGCTGGGGAGGGGGGGGGGGGTAATCCCATAAATTTCGAATAGGTGTGTGCCGCCCAGGGTCTTAACCCTGACACTATTAAATATGAGACGAACATAGATTGATAACCTATTTAAGGCTCAATTCCGAAAATGACACCCTTGTCAAGGAGAAAATTAACAACTAAAAAGTAACAATGGGTAAAAATGTAACCCGATTTGAGCATAAACCATTCCCTACCAGGCGGCACACAACCTATGTATGGGAGTACCTCCCAGACTAGGTGCAAGCTTATTGGAATCCTTTGAACACAAATTGTTTGTTTACATTCACTTTGTCCAGAAGGGGGAAAAGCTCATAAAGGTAAATCCATCGTCCTCTCTCCTTGTGTTTAAAACATTAAAACTGCACATATCATTGTCATGAAATATGTTTGTTAAGTGGTAACACAACGTTAATGTCCTTTCGGTCTTAGATAATGGTGATGTTCAAAGACTGCTTTAAAAAATTCTTGTGGACATCAAGCATCCTTTGGCGATCTTCGGAATTGATGCTTACATGAAGCGATGCTTGGAAATGGACATTTTTTGCCCGGAGACAAACTGGATTTAGGTGGTAGTGGGTGGCCTCCGGTTTCTTCGTAATTTTTGTTGTTCCTGTTGACTTGTCATACCAAGAACGATACTCTTTAGTTGACACTACCACGTCAAATGGAGGAGGGGGCACACTCGAATCAGAAGGTCGAAGTTTTCCTCCGCAACCATAGCATACTCTAGCCGTCGTCTTGTCTAGCCATTTAAGGTGGTATCGCTGCTCATTTTCGACACTTGCAGTCTCCACGTACGGACGCCTATCTGCGTAGCTGTCATCATTTCTTGATGATGCGATGGCCCCGGTTCGACGAATGCGAGACTTTTGGCCAGGCTTTTTCCCCGCATTCTTGGGTGCGGACGTAGACGCTGCTGCAGTGATGTTTGGACCATCGCGAGAATGACACCAGGAAAGGTACTCGTGTAGTTTGGCAACGTAATCCGCAACAGCAAGTGAATGAGAACAAAGAGAGGCAGTTTTAAAACCTTTACACTGACAAATGCAGACTCCGTTTTTCTTTACCGCCACAAAATAAGGAGTTGCCCCGGTATCACTTGCAACAAGAAAACCTTTATGATCTCCCGGAGCTTCCACGATGTTAGTGCTGCTAAGAAGCAAGCACGCAGCTTTGTTGTATGATGGTAAGAAAACTGAGGATAAGCCAGTTTCACAAAAAGGAATGGAGAGTGAATGTGCTGTTGAAGTCTCCTCACGCACTTCCCTCGTTTCTTGAAGGGGAGTTTCCCCACCTTCAGGGTCTTGTTGACGTCCTTCCCCACTTTCTTCATGTCCCCGTTCATTTTGCTGGCTGTAAATGCCTCCTCTTGGCACCGTGGTTACGACTGGAAGGGCTTCATGGAACTCCCTTAAATGCTTTTGCCTTTTCTCTTCCGACCAATCATATGTCCAAGAGTGTTCATCAACCTTAAAATGTTCGAACCCTGGAGCTATTTCAAAGGGTCCGTTACCAATTATGGCATCTTCCACATAACAGAGGTTGGCGTTCTTTTCCTTTCGAATGTTTTCAACAACTGTTGGCATTTCGGTGGCCTTGTAGTTTTGCCTTGCCTTAATATTGCGATGCATTGATTCGGGGTCATTATTGTAGTAGAAATCGTATCCTAAACCCATATCTCGCCTAACTGGATAGAGAAGCATCTCTTTCATGTCTTTGGCTTGGTAACGCACAAACCATGAATGGAATTCTGGTCTACTGGTTTGTCTGGCGGCCTTTTCACGCTCGTTCCATACTTGCTCCAATTCTGCCAGGTCTTTTTCAAAGTCAGCCTCGGTGGCTCGGTCAATCAAACCCCTCTCTCGCGTCACTTCGGAGCCAAAGATATCAGCAACAATTTCCTTCCTCTCATTACCATTCACACCAAGATCTGTAAGCTTCCGCTGAATATCATCCTCAAAGTGCTTTTTACAAGCCAGGAAATTGGCACAAGGAAAATGGGGCGTCAGTCCGTTCTTAATCGCTTTGTCTCTCACAACCGACACCTAAAATTCGCGTTAGTGATGGCTTAAGTCTTGTCATGGAGCTTGCGAGATAACTGAAGGCTTCCTGATCTCGATGCTTGTGAATAAGTGTAGGCCCAAGTAACACTGGGTGCTTGCCTGTTCTCTTCGACAAGAGCAGCTGATGCCGGTATGTGGTTGGTGTTACGTAGAACTCCCCACAGTTGTAAGTAGTGTCGACGCTCAATATTCCGGGCTTGCATGGATTCGTACAAAATCGTTCCAAGTCTAGTAGCTGACGGTCATCGGAAATAAACGCAAGTGGCTGAGGCGCTCCTTGGACAAATCGGAGAAATCTATTCGGATGTGTGCTGTCGTCGATGCATTTCAGAATCACGGAATAAAGTTCGTCTTTTTGACCGGGTCTTGCAGTGTAGGTACTGCTTTGGTGGTGAATGGACCGTTCCTTAATTTTTTGAACCTGATTGACCGAACGCGGTCTAGCAGAAACTTTACAAGCTGAAAGGACACCGGCCTCCTGTCGAGTTTCCACGTAGACATCTCGTGAGCTTTTACCAGACTTCAACTTCTCCTTGATCGCTTTCAGTGTAGATGGCTGCATGCGGGCTTTCTTGCATGGGGACACTTCGTGCTCTGATTCTTCAAATCGATAACACAAGAGGATGTACTGGTATGGGGTACCATCTGATTTACAAAGACTGTAGATCTTACGCTTAAAGTCTTTATACTTAGCATGCACAAAGTAGGTACGTTGAAGAACATATCTTTTATTCCTCAAGGTGATGTTTGACATTTTCGTGCCATTATTTCTCCAAGAGAAGTCGTCAGACTTGAGGTCTTCACTTGCAGGTATTTCTCGATCAATAAGAAACATAGCGTTCTTTTGTTAAACTGCTGGTCTGTCTTTACAAATTGCAAAACTGGGAGGATTTAACAGATACCGCGCAAGCTCCTCAGAGGTAAAGTTGTCTTGAATTGCAAGATACGATAAGCTTGTTTGCCCTCTAAAATAATTGACGTCCTCTCTCTTGACATCTTGCAATGAGAATGACATCCCCTCTGACTCGGAAGAGCTTTAGGAATGAAAATAGGCATCTTCAATAGCCTGTACATTCATAACTATGAAACAGTAAAACAATTCGATCGTAAAAATTGCTTTGACTCTCGTTCTATATATCTTCCTATATGAATTCCTATACCTAGCAGCACTTCAATAACGTTGTAATCAAAAAATGGAAAAAAGGAAGGACTCAATAAAATTGTAATTAAGCATGTAATTTACATTGATTTGTAGATCGCAAAGAAATTATGGACTTAAAAGAATCATTACATTTTGGGAACGTTCTACGCAATATCATCAGTGTATTAGTTTTCAACAGAAGAAATTTAGGAGGCATGAACATATTTATCACATGAATGTGCCGTGACAATGGCTGAGATGTACTTATTGATTACTTTTTTCCCTTTTTTCGTTTCCATTTTCCTATTTCAACATTAATGCAGTAAGGTGTATTACAGCCAACCTTCTTAAAACGGTACTGTAAGACTGAGACCTCTTTAAGAGGACATCAGGGATGACTATTTCTTGTCAGATTTCGACTGACGGCCGGCAATCAAGTTCTCTATAAGGGATACAGATACAGCTTGCCCGGAGGGTGTCTGGCATCGAGTGAGTTCTCAGTAAAAAAAACCAACACAACTGGGCCGATGTTGATGTCCTAAATAAGGCACCTATAACCCCCAGCCCCCCAGAGACAGACACACACACACAAACATCTAAAATATTAAAGCAAAAAACATAAGATGACACGCACCCGTCTTCACTGGAGCTAGGACTTGATACTTAAATGAATTTACTTTGGTTGAGTTAAAGGACAGACTTACTGTCACCGCAGTGTTAAGAAAACAGCATTAAACCTTCAGAAAGCTGATAATTATGAGAGACAGGTGATCTCTTACCTTTCCTGGGAGCTCTCATCCTTGTAACTTGTAATTTTACAATCTGAATCACTAACGAAAAAGAGCAAGATACAGAGCTCAGACAGATGACTTAACCACACCCCTGACCCTAATACTAGGGTTCACCATTAAGGTCTACAAATAAGCAAGCCACGGTTTTGGAACAAGAAAACATTGGCACTGTCTTTAACTTTGATCTTTCCCAAATAGGCTTCCCCTCTCCCCATTCCTTCTGGATATAATGCGACCCAATTCAGTATAAGGTGAATAAATTCCCAGGTTATCACACAGATATGCACACAAATACCCGCCCCCATTTATACCCTTAAATCATAAAGGTACAAGGTACCTGCCCCTATCATGAAGCCTGCCTGACACATATTCTCAATGACAGGTTCATATTTCGAGTGAACATCACTCTCTAACAATTCAGGACCCACACCCACACTCCCACTCTTTCATATACATGAAGACAGAAAAATTTTGGGCGGGGCCCTTACACTGATTACCCCCTCCCCCCCGGAAATCCTTAACTTGTTACGACGTAAAGCCTCCAGTTAACAAGAAATTCGAGTCAAGAACTGGCCAACCGCTCACGCAGTTGCAAAGATTTGATTTACCCGTTTGATTTACCGAACAAGCACAAAAGTATTTTCTTCCTGTAATTTTTTGTCGCTGATCAGTAACATGCTCTCCATGATATTCCAGTTATTTGTGAACAAGGTGAATGATATTTGCGCCGGCTTGATTTGCAACACATCAATTCTGGTTGAGTCTGGTATAGATCAAATTTCTGCATTCTGCGCCCACACAGAAAGCCTGTTCACAGGCCATTTAAGGTGGCTCCGGGATTAACACAAGAGCATTTAGCTGTGACAAATTTTCCGTCATAACTTTTTCGATTTTGACGCGATGGCTGCGAAACTTTGCAATTAACAACAGATATCATTCGGCAATAATACGAAATATTCCGATTTCATTGATGGTAAATATTTCTTGAGAAATTAGCGCTTAAAAGGACCCTACTGTTCAAAGAAAATCGCGTCTAGTAAAAAATTTGCTGATATTTTTTACTGAAATTTCTGGTATCGGCTTTAATTGATATAATAAATATGCCAGAGGAATTTCAGAAAAATCGTTGGAGCAGAAGTCCGTAACTAAAAGTCGGTCAAAATTCAGCTGTGAAATTGTTCTGGAATTTCAAAAATAAATTACTATCAGGAAGAAAAGAGACACCAGTTTCAGTTTTCGGGACAAGCAACTTCAGTGTGTTTCCTAATTCTGAAAACAGAAGCCGATTGCCTATCGTGCTATTCTTTAAAAGGTACTTTTCAGTTTTAGAAGCACTATAAATTGCTCCAAACTTTGCTCTGACATCGAATGAATGTTATTATCATACAACGATAACCTATTAAGAAGAAAAAGAAAGAATCGTACCTTGAATCCGTCGAAGCCATTTCTTCCGAAACTTTGCAGCCAAAGACAACTTGGCAACGAGGCTGTCGTAACTTTACGCGGGAAAATCAACCTCGTACCCAGCGCCCCAGGCCAAGGCTGATTTCCAATTTTTTTTTGACGTTGCTTTATTGATGATGACGTCACCTTTATTCTTATGTTTTCAATGTGTATTATTTTACAATTAGTGTCACGTAAATAACAGTCTGCGGTCTGCGGTCTGCGGTCTGCGGTCTGCGGTCTGCGGTCTGCGGTCTGCGGTCTGCAGTCTGCAGTCTGCAGTCTGCAGTCTGCAGTCTGCAAATGTCATACACCGGTGGGCGAGTGTGTAGGTATGTGGATGAGGGTGAATGAATGAGAGGGGGTGCTGATGGCAATTGGCTTGAGAATGTATTACGATGGGACCTGTCCAAAAATTGCGCCGGCGCCCTTCCCGCCAGACTTTTAGCCACTTCCTTCGATTTTTAATGGTATTCACTTCACTCGGTTAATTCTTCTGCCCGTAGTAATAGCCATTATTGGTTGAGACTATTAATTTTCTTTTATCTGTCATTACTACCTTGACTTTTTCACGCTCGCTATTGGTTCTTCAAGACGAAGCAAAATCTCGAGCTTCAAAGGCCGGTTTAACCTCCTCTGTCACGGACGGGTCATGAAGGATCCCTGAAGGATCTATGCCGAATCGATTCCCACATCTAGTACCTTATTCACTCGCCCTTAAGTTGATTTTCATCTGCGAAAGATTTAGCCCGTACTGCTCGAGAGTTGCGTTCAACTGAAACTGAAAAAAAAAATGATGACTCGGACTAGAACCAAAAATAACAAAAAAAGGCAGGATGAAACGTAGATCCTGAGTGTCTGGCCAGTCTACCGTTTCTAAGCTACGCTGGTATTTAAGAAGAGGTATTACATTTTTGTGCATTGGATGTTTTTAACAAATGCCTAATAGGATAGAACACACTTAAAATTAAAGTGTAATGTTACAAAGGAAAATTTGTAATATTACACTTTTTAACGAGTAAAGCGTTACACAGAATTTTCAGTGTTGTGTTACGCTTTATGTCGGGTAATTTTACGCAAACTTTAGTGTAAAAGAGCTGGTACACTTAACATGATAATATTACACTGTTAAAGGTATACTTTTACAATTTTTTCTATTGTAACATTACACGCAGGGTACGGTGTATATTTTACCCGTTTTTACAGCGTAAATGTATACCATAGTAAAGGTAATTTTACACTATTGGTGTTAGAGTATACAAATAACACAGAGTAATATTACACAATTTGTAGTGTTGTGTTACTCGTTTTTTCGGGTACTTTAACACCAACTAAAAGTGTTAAAATTGAAGTGTATTGTTAGAAAAGAAAAATTATAAAGTTACACTTTTTATGGTGTAAAACACTACACAGAAATTATGGTGTAGTGATACTCGTTATTTTGAGTATTTTTACACCACGTTTAGGCTGAAACAATAGGTATTTTTAACATTTACTTACAGAGTAAATGTATACCACAGCGGAGGTAATTATGCACTCACATGTGCACTTATACGTTTATAGAATAAAACACCCACTCTCTTTTTTTTAAAAAAAGACATCGAAGCAAGAAAATCTTCATCGCGTGAATAAGTTATCTGAGCCGCTAGTTGTACATGTAGCAGGTATATACTTCAGCTGCGGTCTAAGGTCTCATTTCAGATATATCGTACGAAATTCACGCAACTGCATTTGTATACATGTGTAAATTGCAAGGTGTTTTAGCTAAATTAATGAAATGACCTAAACTGCTAACGATGCATCACTCCATTGACAGGACTGTCATTTGTGCGGGTTTCTATCTTTCCTGAGAAATGTAACACTATGTTTCTTTCTTCTTCTTCTTTTCTTTTTTTTTTCTTCATTGTCCATTGTCTTCGTACTATCGATTTAATTCAGACCATGTTCCTTTTCCGCGTGTTCTCGAAGACGAAATTTATAGCAACACGAATTAAGTGACTGAGTCAAAAGCCGCAGCAGATCCAAAGATCACGTATAGTCAGTCACCAGGAGCTTAAGTGACAGGGCGCGAATTTTCGTGCAATCAGGATCGATGATGTTGCCGATAAAGACACTTGAATACCGTTTGTATTCGTCTTTTGTTCCAACCATCCTCCACGAAGGTTGTACTAAAATTAAGCTCCGTAA